AATCCACAGAGGAGATTATTAAGCTAGAATCGTTTGAACTGGTCGGAGAGGGTGGTTACCAGCTCAATGTCGATCGATGTGATCGAGTTATTGCGAACGGAACCAGAGCGCTGATCTCCGCAAGAACGTTGCTGTCACGCAAGAGCCTTTCAGTCACTCAGTGGTACCCAAAGTCCCAAGCATTTATGCAAAATACAGAGGGGTATTTGCATGCGCGCCGACTATACTTGTAAACCCAGAAAGTCAATCAATTTTTTTTTATTTAGCCCTAATTGTTTGGGATAACATTCACTGGGTTACTGGGTTATGAATGTTACTCCTGGCCGACACAAGCAACATTCACCTGGGTAATTCTAAGTGTGTAGAGGACATTTAGTATAGGAGGTAATTATAACAATCTTTGTATGGTGAAGATATTACATATCTAGACAGCCCACCTATATTCAATGCGAATAGCACCACTTTGGCTTAGTAAATCCATGTGACTCGCTGATATCACAGGCACATCGAGTCATACAGTAAAACGCCGACACAAAGAGAGTTCGAGCCTTTTTTCTTAGTTTTAGAAATAAAGAGAGTTTTTTTTTTAGGCAGAATCGCACCTCTGCTTAAAATCTGGATATAAAATTCAGAGAACAATTGCCACCACTTTGTAAATGGAGCGCGTTACGTCAATGGAAAAATACTTCGAACCAGCTGAATTCTTTTGTTAATGCGACTGTTGCTCAAGATCTTCGAGTGTTTTTCGTCTGATAATGGTCTGCAAGAACCCATCCTCTGGAATAACGAATCCATCTCAGGCGAGCACAGCAAGGGGTCCAGCATTCTTAAGTCCCTGGGGCGACTATAGCCGTATCCCCCAACACACATATCTCACTCTAAGCGGGTGTCAAAGGCAGCATCGATACTTGAGTCGCCCTGCATACGGTGGGCGTTTCTTCTAGAGTTATGCGTGATCCTTTCGTTAGTTCCTCTCTTTTATCTACATCGTTATCAACATTCTCTAGGTCCAAAAACCTGCAGATACCGTGAAGTGTTGTGCTAGCGAATTACCCGAACACGCATAAACCTGGAGAGATAGCAAACGTACCGCCGGCTTCGCAGCGACCCATGCCTTATTGCGCTTGAGACCGATACTGCGTTTACGAGATGAGTGGCTGGGAATTTATGTTCGGAATGTAGAATACATGATTACGGTAAAGTAGTACATTATCTTAAATTGTGACCGAATGTTTACAACTGTACTGTAATCATTTATTTCCCTAACCTCACTAACGACCGAAACTTCCGTAGAGGCTATAATAAAGTATGCGCCACAGCATCTACAGACTGCAGGGCCGCCAGCTTGGGGGTATGATACGTGCAAAGCTGTGTGGGGAAGCACAACAAATAGATGAAATCGTCGATTTCTGGGTATACAGTGGTGCACCTCGTTTTCGACACCAGTATGCCTCTATAACCTACATAATTTGATGATTACGCAGAGTGCATTGCGCAAATCGTTTGCCAATCTCCGCTGGCTGAATTATCCTCAATGGTTTT